AAGTCATGGAAGTTTCCTCTGGCCCTCTGGACTGATATCCTTCTTGAGTATTTAAGAAAAATAACATTTCATGGTGAGAAATAGCTACACAGGTGTTCTTTCCAATGAATGCAAACTTGATTTTAAAATACTCCCACTTCTCACACATTGTAAAATTAATTAATCAATCCCAGGGACTAAGGAACATATAAAAGGCCTAAGAATTCCTCAAGTACCTTACAATGTCCTTTTAATATTAAAATTAGTTCTACAATACGCAGACATGTTCTAAAATAAAAGGCTTTGGCCATTATGAAGAAGCATAAAATGATGAGTGGAAGAACAAACTGGAGCAACCCTGAGGACATGAAAGCAGCATGAAAAGGAGAATGTCCTTTTGTTATTACAGAAAAGACTCAAAGGTTAGTAGCCTGGGCATGTTCTAGAAGGCTGTTAACAGGAGTTGAAAGAACCACAAAATGGAGATTCAGTGCTGGCCTCTAGGAAATAATGGAACAACAAAGGACCCTTCCCACCATGGACTGAAGAGAGACAGAAGATGGGAGGGGGAGAGAAAAAAAACTTTTTGCCTATCAGGAATGGGTTTTAAAAGAAGCGAATGAGCAATTTGTAGTCAGATCCTTTGCAGTCATTCCCTCTCAATCAAAATAATCTGCTTTTAACTCTATTTGTTGTTGTTTTTATTGATTTGTATAATAGCCCAGAGTTTCTTGTTTAAGAGGACGGCCATATAAATATCCTAAAACAAATAAAATCCACTGCCTCTTTTTATATCCAGAATGCTTTCCGTCAAAGACATTCCAGGTTTATATCACCATGTTCTACATCAAATGCAATGAAATCTGATGCTTGTGTAAAACAAGTAGATCTGGGTCATTTTAGCAGGCAGAACTTTTTAAATAATAAGAAATAGTGTTGCTAGGTGATCTTATCTACTCCCAGCCATCAAATCTTCATTGGCAGCTGCCTTATCATGTCCCTTCTGATCGTGTTGGCTAGGTTTGTACAACACAATAGGGCAGGGGTCTTCAAACTTGCCCTTTTATGACTTGTGGACTTCAACTCCCAGAATTCCTCAGCCAGCATGCCTGCAATAGGGCTTTGTTTGGCCCCTACTTTGTACAAAATGCAAAGTAGGCCACTATGGCTTATTTAACAGACCATGTTTAAAACCATAGCTTAGCACAATGGATGAAACCAGCTTGTCCCTTGGGATCCTTTCTCCGTGCTTGAATCTTCCAAAGATTTTTCCTTGTGTTCTTCTCGTCGCCTTCTTCAGAACGATCGGAATTAAGCAAGTCTCACCAAAGGTTCATCTTCAATCATGCTGGGGAAAGCTGCTGGTTGACCCCCATTTCCAGAAGGCCAGGAACCACTGTATCTCAATCTCGGGGTTGCCCTCTGGAGATTCATCTGTTCCCAACATTGTGTGCCTTCTAGAAGAATTTTTGAATTTGGGGGGGGGGGATTTATGGGGACTGATGCCATATATTGTGCTTGGGCTTTATTCATCTTACTTTCCTGTTGTTGTTGTTTAAAAAAAATATGTTTGCCACTGAGAATCTTGTAATTGTAGTAATATACAACTTTGATTCACAAATAAATCAATCACCTGTTTGTCGTCCCTTTGGGATACTCCAGACAAGAACCAACCATGAGTACTAACACTATTTTTATTATAAGGTTCAGTAACAAAATCTTGCAAATCTGAAAATATCTCCTCTTTCCCTCACTTTTCATCTCCCAAAAACTACTTCTGAGATGCTTTCTCTATCTTCACCCCTCCTTTGGGCTCAGGTTTCATTTATTAGAGCATTGCCTAGGCTTGGCTCTTCCTTCTGTCTCCCAAGGTCATTCTCACATGCCATCACAATATTGGACCTGAGGAGTGAAAAGCCTGGAGCTGGTAGCTGTAATTTGCCCAAACATTGTGTTTTCTTAGCTATTGGTTGGAGCAGCATCAGAACAGATGGTGTATTTGTATAATCTGGAATTCCGGCCCCTCAAATATCAGTTGACTTCACACATATTTCTTTTAATTTTGGTTTGAACTACTATATATCAGTTCACACAAAATGCTATCCCAATTACACGTATTCAAGAGCTCAAAACAGACCAATAAGATTCCTTTACTGGAGCTTAATATATAACAGATATTTTGGCAGACACTTCTAATGAAACCCAGTTCTCTTTTGCTACTCTTTGTCAATCATTCCCATAGTCCTTCCCCATGCCATCAGAGTGAGCATTCTGAAGGTTTTTAGGGCATACTCGAATATTTCATTGTGTGATCCAAGCAGAAACCGCTCACCTATAGACTTTCCAAAACTCTTAGTCCAGCTAATAAATGTTGCCAGGGTAGCAACCCCCCAAACACCTTTTTTTAAAAAAAGGAAACCTGAAAATAAAAGCAAGCTTGACTGCAATCAGATAGAGGAGTAGCTTCTTTCAGGTGTAACTGGAGGAACATTCCGGTCTG